TGAGGAGATGGGGCGTCCTGAGGAGACAGGGTGTGAGGGGAGCCATGAGGAGATGGGGCGTCCTGAGGAGACAGGGTGTGAGGGGAGCCATGAGGAGATGGGGCGTCCTGAGGAGACAGGGTGTGAGGGGAGCCATGAGGAGATGGGGCGTCCTGAGGAGACAGGGTGTGAGGGGAGCCATGAGGAGATGGGGTGTCCTGAGGAGACAGGGCGTGAGGGGAGCTGTGAGGAGATGGGGCGTCAGGAGGGAGGGTAGAGAGGAGAAAGGGTGTGAGGGAGCGGTACAGAAAGTGTCCGAGTCAGTCAGTTTCTCTGGGAGAAGGGGGGTGGTGGTGAAAGTCCAAGGTGTTTGGCCAGGGATGGGGGTGACCCTCCGCAGCCCGGGCTGTCACACATCGCAGGGGGTTGGAGCTGACACATTGCAAGGCTGCCGGGTGCTTGTGGGTTTCTTGTGGGTGGGTAGTGGAGGAGCATCAACAGAGTCATCACCGTGCCCTCCAGAGAGAGACTGACCCAGGCTCTGTCCCCTGTGGGGTCAGCAGTGGCCAGGCCAGTACTGGCAGAGCTCTGCCCTTCGTGCACAGTTGTCACGGTCACAGGCTGGCCAGCAGCAGCCCCCTCTGCACCCAGGAGGTTCCCCCTGGAAACTAGGGCTGTTGGAGCTGGTGTAAAAGCACATGAGCCAGAAGGGATCCTAGATGACAGGAGGTGGAGGACAGCCATGGGGCACAGCTCTGCCTGCTCCCTGCTTTATACTCTGCCCCAGCTCCTCCTAGAAATGCCCTTTCTGAGCCCCTGGGTGCGGGGGATCTGCAGCGTCAGAGCCTGATGTGCAGGGGGGATGGAGCCGTGGGTTGAATGCTGGGGCTGTGGAGGTTCACAGGAGTTCACAGGTGGAAGTGGATGCAGCTGTGAGTCTTGGCAGCACCGTGTCTGTGCTGATCCTTTCTTGACTTCTGTGTGAGAGCTCGTTCTCACATAGAAATGGGTCATTCATTCAGCCTCTGTGTTTATTTTCCTGATAAAACTGAATATTTGCAGTGAGTTGCACCCTGGGTCCATCAAGCCTGCAGAAATGAGGAGAAACCCAGGAGGCAGAGTGAGAGGATGGGGTAAGGTTTCCTTTCACACTCCCAGCTTCTGGGCAAAGTTTCTAGAGCAACAGGTTGTACCTGTTGCTTAGCAGACACCCATAGACTGTTGGGAGTTTGTCCCATCTCTTTTCAAACCAGTGTATCAATTTGGTCTCCATGGTATCCTGAGGCAGTGAGTGCCACGACTTCAGGAATGTGTTGTGTGAAAAGATATTTCCTCTTATTTGTTATAAACTTGCTGCTGGGTGATGGCATACAGTACCTCCAGTCGTGTGTTACAAGAAGCGGGGAGAGTTGTTCCCTTTTCACTTTCTCCAGGGTACACATGATTTTGTACACCTCCAGTATCGCCCTCTCTTCAGCTTTCTCTTTCCTGTGCAGAAGAGCCATTGCTTTTAAACATTGAACTGATTAAAGAACCATATTAACAGCGTATTGGCTTATTATACATTTTAAAATAATGATTTCCAATAGGATTCCTTTTTACAAGAAACGTGCCGTTCAGACTAGACACAATGCATCCTCGTAGACAGTCAATGATTTAGGGTTTTGGAGTTAACAAAACCCTGCAGAAATCAACAGAGAAAGATGTTCCATTTCCTTTAAAAGTTCTTTCCCCAAATTCCTAGTCCTCCAGTCTCTGATTTCCGTGTGATGTTGTTCCCAGGCTTCACTGCCTGCTGGTATTTGCATAGCAGCAGTCGATACTCACTGTGTGCAGTGTTCCCTTCCATCGAGTTACCTTAAGTTGTTTGCTGGGAACCAAGTAATTTTCATATTTCCAATTAAGTGCAAGATTTCAGCAAGTTACAGGATTTATGATATTTCATTTCTTCAGATCTCTTTTGTGCTATCGGCTTGTCTTTTATTGAGCATTAAGATATAAATAAATTATGTAAATGTTATTGTCAAAGGAATATGAAGGCCTGCTTCTCTGCCCACTGCAGAAAGAGGCAAAGTAATGCTGGATATCATCCTAGAAGAGCCATCATCTAGGAAAAAAGTGTATTTATTTTTCAGTTAGATTTTGGGGAGAAGCAGCCTAAGTTTTTCTTGTATCTGAAGCAAACAGATGACATGTAGCTGTATCATTTTAGTAAACAATGCTGGAGATGCGTTAAGATTCAAATTGCATTAAAGATCTGAAAAGGAAAATAATCGTTGCAGGAATCAATTGCAATGCAGGTGGTAAATGCATCATCCTGAAGGGTACAAAGCCGACACCACTGCGGCTAGTAACGGCAGGATCTGTGTCGGGGCGGTGTTGATTTTAACAAGTGCAGACCTGCTTGACTATCTTTTCAACTTTTTCTCTGCAAATAGTAACAGATTGTTTATTTGTTTGTTGAGGTATTTCCTGGCTTAGGCAACAACCAAGCGTTTGTCAAAGATGTCCTGAGACCGTGTTTCATCAGTAAAAAATGTAGGGCCTGATAATTTATTATTCTGTATGGTAAATACCTTGTAGACAAAGGGCTTTTTATGGCTGGGAGCTATGGCAGGCAGGGTGGGAGAGCGGGGCTGTATGCAGAGTCAAAATACCCTGTGATCCCAGTTCCACAGGAAAGGCTGGAAATAGGTGAAAATGGCGCGAGTCTGCATGTAAACCCGTCAGTGCCTGCCAGTGAACCCCACAGCCTGGAGAGCCCCAGCCGTGCGGGCTGGCTGTGAGCGAGGTGTGAGGAGAAGCCATGGCAAGACCACTCCCAGGGGACCCTCTGCAGGTTGTCCCGCTCCTGTGTGTGCAGGAGCTTGTTCACACAGCTGTGTCCCCTTGCAATGTCCCTGACACAGCCAGACCTCGTGCTTCTGAGCCCAAGCTTGCTCTCTCCAGAGAGCTCTCTGCCATGGTGGGGTCTGAACTGGTAGGCTGGGCTTTGTGTAATGCTGCACAGGGCGAGTAGGTACTTTGCTCGGTGTGGATGTGGTCAGAAGATCTTGGTTGTAACCTGGGTTTGATCCAGGTGGATGCGAAGGTCTTTGATACAGGCATATGGTTGACACGGCGTGGGCAGGAGCCCCAGCCCTGCGGAGGGATTGAAGGAACAAGACGTGCATGTGGTAAGAGATGTTGTTTAGAAAGGTCAGCTCTTTGCTGCCAGTTTGCAGGACTGGGATAGCTGCCTGCTGTACCCTAACGGGGACCCCGTTGGCATATGGACTCGGTATGGTCTGGGTTCAGTATAACATCCCCCAGAGGCAGTGAGCTCCCTGGAAGGTCTCTCTTTGCAAGGAACTTGTACAATCGCAGGCTGGCCGTGAGCTATGGTGGGGGTCTTTTACTGAACTGCTCTTTTCCTCAAGCTCACTGGTTAACCCCAGGATTCAAGTCATGGATTTCGGTGATCCTTCACCTTGGGATTAACAGGGTCCTTCCCCAAACAGCTGCATTCCTCAGTTGAGGCCTCAGTTTTCTCTAGTCTTGACTCTTTGCCTCCTTTTCCTTTGCAGGCTTTTCCAGATGGCTTAGAGGCACATTAGGAAATGGAGTTAGCGTAACTCCTAAGCAATGCCCTTTCCAGCCTCCTTGCTTAGTAATGTGTTTGTTCTGAAGCCTCGGTCAGGCAAAGCCCGTGTGGATACAGGTGCCTGCAAGCCAAGGGGATGGTGCCATGAGTCATCTGAAAAGGAATAACATTCCTGAGTTGGGTCTGGCTTTTCTTTCTTTCTTTTTCTGAACAGTGGTGCGTGCCCTGTGGTTCAAGCCCTCTCCCAGCTCTCCCCCCAAAATGTGGGGGATGTATATGTGGTAAGATACATCCAGTATACATCCAGTAATGCCTGCCCTCACCTGCAAGGTGCATTTGAGTCACCCTGCTGTGCTCAGGCTTTACGTGTGCCAAGAAGCTGATGTCCCCACGAGAGGAAGCCCTGGTATGAGCACATGAAGTAGATTGAGAGGAAGAGGAAGAAGCAGCAATAAAAATTCTCCTAATTAGCCCCTCCAGATTCTGACAATAAGCTGGTGAAGCTGAGACCACGTGCTTTACTTATTTTTATCAGAGGAGGGTCTTGGTTTCTCCTAAATGTGTTTGCCTGCTCTAGGCTCTCCCCGTGTGTGATTTCCCCAGCTTCTCTCCAGGGGAGAGCTGCTTTTCATTGCGGTGCAGTCAAAGGCTGGATGTGTACAATGAAAGGCGCTGCCGGAATAGCTGTGGGCACTGTGATGAATTCTTTATCTCTGAGCATCTTTTCTAAGAGGCACTCGCGGCAGCCACGCTGACTTGTTGCCCACAGTCAGTTCCTAAAATAACAACACCACAGGCTGAGCTGTAGCTGAGCTGCTTCTTCACATCTTGCTGTGCTGGTATAAAAGGTTTCAGCTCAAGGAATTGAGACCCTTGTTGGTAACAGCATTGTCTTTTACTCCACTCCAGCTTTACCCCACTCCCCTGTGCAGTAACTAGCCCCCCATCCGCTGTGTGTTACAGCAACTGAAACACCCCAACCTGGTGAACCTGCTGGAAGTGTTCAGGAGGAAGCGGAGGCTGCATCTGGTCTTCGAGTACTGCGACCACACCGTTCTCCATGAGCTGGACAAGCACCCCCGGGGGTGAGTAAGTCTCTCACTGGGAGCTTTGAGCAAAGGAGTCAGGGGGTGTCTGTGTCATTGCTGCTCTGCAGTTTTCAGAGGAATTTCATTAATTACAGGAGAGATTTCTCAGCCCAGTGCCCAGGACATGCTCTGTTACTGTGGTTTAGCAATGACATCCAAAATAATTGTGTGTGAGCCCACATCCTGCACAGTGCTGCTCACCAAGGAGACCGGAGCGCTGAGCCTGAGCGTTTGGATGATTTTTGGCTGGCTCTGCACCAGCAAACCCCAGTTGCTTGGGAGTGTCCTGTGTCTCGCTGCAAAGAGGTTTGGGCTGCTGGGGGAGGCGGGCAGGGGGCTGGGACATGCAGCCCTCCTTCCTGCTGCTCCCCAGGTGCAGAGCCAGGCTGTGGGCACTGCGGCAACGTGTCTCAGCACCCAAAACATACAGTCTGTAGTGAAGTCACTGATGACGCGTATGACAGACCAGTGACTTGTAGCCCTGCTGAGGAGTGTGTATTGGCTGGCAGGAGTCCCCAGGAGCTATGCCTGCACCTCTCCGCACAGCTTCAGGTCAGATACCCTCTTCTTTAAACAGGCACTTGCACGAAGCATGAGCTGCACGGCTGAAAAAACATTCCCCAGGACAGAGTTTGTTCCTTTGACACGTTACAAACGACACTCCCACTCAATGCATTGTCTCTAATTATTCACAGTGACTTGGTGCTGTGGAAATGCTAAGCAGAAGTTCATAAATCATTTTATAGGCCTGGAGCTAAATGAATTGCCTGCAGGAGACTAATTTGGGGTTGAGTAAACAAGACCCTGTTGTTCTCTTTCTCCCTGATGTGGAGCTCTAGAAGGAGAACGGAGTATGCAGATAGCAAATGGCTTTGTGAGCTGGTGAGCAGCTTTCTGCCCAGTTTGAACCTGTTCACCTGGAATCTGAAGAGAGGATGGATAACCCTCTTTGAAGAAAATACTTCACATTTGCTTTCTATTCATCAGAACAACTCCAGGGGGAACGAACATGTAACACCTGGTTGCATACTTTGCTTTTGATCTTTGCCACCGCAGATGGTCGAGTCTTTTGTGGTCAGGATTAAGATGGGTGGGCAGACACCTCTTTGCCCCATGTTTCCAGGTAATTTGACCAACTTCATCCCCTTGTCAGGCTGTCAGTGCAGCACTCTCATCATTCTAGGATGTTTCTGTGAGGGAACTCCAGCGTTGCAACAGCAGTGTCGGTGCAAGACCTTCAGCAGTGACAGCAGAAGGTGCCTTAGAGAAAAAGCCAGGCTTCCTGCATATTGGTTTGGTTTGTTTTTTCTTTATGATGAATCATAAGCTTTTCAGTGTTAAACACATGAAATAAAATTGGATTTGAGCTTGCAAGCGCCAAGATTGTCACCTCTGCCTTTCCTGGGATTGTTGAAGACCGTTACAGACAGCCAAGGAGGTTTAAGAACTGTTGCACAGTAAGTGAAAGAGAGGAGGCTGGATCTGTAACAGAGGTTTTCTTTCTCTGAAGTGTTTGCCAGCCGTTGGAGGGAAGGAGAGGAGATGCAAAACAAAGTAGAGCTTTCTACTCTTGTAGGAACATCCTTCCCTGTCCCATTTTGTCCTCTCTGGACAGTCAGTGACATGAGAGCATTGCAAGTCATGCATCTATACCACGGACACTCCACCTCCTCCAACGCTGTGTGGCTGCAGAGGCAGAAAGGCCTGCTGGCATTTCAGGATTGCCGGGAAGCGCGGATGCTAAGCACAGCCGTGAGACAGGATTTGACACGGACTTGCACGCACTGATGGTGGTCATCGGTTGGCAGGCCTCATGCTGGCTGTGACTGAGCGGTATCAGACGCTCTGACACGCTCTTAGCTGCCGTAAATCCCTAGATCTTGTTGCGCTGACTGGGTTTGGAAGTGGTGTTGACATTCCCTTTGATGCTCCTGCGATGGTTGAAGGGTGACCTCACAGAAGAGCGTTGCTTTCTGCAGTGAGGTGCAGGCAGAGCTCAGCTCAGCTCTGAGACGTGGGAAGAGGTACAAACAGCCTCCACCAGCAGCAGCCCAGCGTGACTGGTTTCCTGCAATGGAAGATCAACAAACAGAGGGTTATTATGTATTTCTTGTAACTTATTTATAGCAAGAAAATGTAGCTAGTGAGGTTTTTTTTCTGAGTTTTCTGACTTGTTCCCTGGTGGTTTTGCTCGGAGATCCCTGCACAATGTTAGCACAGCACTCAAAGGCCTCCTCTTCCTTTTTCCTGTAATAGTGAAGTTGTTTTTAATGCCCAAAATAAAAATTGTGCTTTTTTAAAACAGGATGCCGGAGCATCTAGTGAAGAGCATAACCTGGCAGACCCTCCAAGCTGTGAACTTCTGCCATAAACACAATGTAAGTACCCTACACATCGCTAATGATTGCTGCAACGTGGCTTTGGAGGTTAAGGAGGTGCTGTTGCCATTTTCCTGATTACAGAGCCTTCATGGGACAAAGTCGGATGAAATTTCCTCTTTTCAACAGGAAACATACATCTGAAATACGAGTGTGTGCCCACAACAGCTGCGTTTACTGTGACACAGGTCCCTTGGGTTTGCTGCCAAGGAATGATTTGCATTAATGACTTTAGACAAGCTTCCAGTCTGAGCAAGAATATAATCCTTGAGTGTTCCCTGTGCCATGCGTTACAACTGACATTTAAAAAACTGGCTTAACGTCTGATCAGCTGAGATCTAAGCAAACTGCTGCTGATTTCACAGAACATCCTGTTGATAGTCACAGGCGTTGAATCATGTCAACACCTAAAAGGTTTCAAAAATCAGACACAGTGAACTGGTTTTAGAACCCCTCCTCTGCTTTCTGGGGGGAAATGTGCATGGCAAATATTTTGTAGAAAGCAGTGAGGATGCTTTAAGAAGCAGGGAAGGAATGGAACATTTTGGAGAAGTTCCTTAGGCAAACTTATCTGTAATTGTCTTTGTTTTTGTTTATCTGCCAATATTTTGAGCTTTAAGAGTCGGGCAGGAGATCGCTGTGGAATGGGTGTTTTGTCTTTGCTGGGAGAATTATGTCCAGCTGAGCCACAGGAACTTGGCCGTAAGTCTGTCCTGCTTCCAGGATTTGTTGTTTTGCTGCTTCTTTCTGTTCACCCACTCAGTCTGAAAAATTTAATGGAGTTTTAAAGCCAAGGGAACAACGAGATGCTGCAGTCTGACGTGCTGTAGATCACAGGTAATGAGGTTTTATGGAGCTGTCCTTTGTGGAACTCCACGACACTGGTTTAACAAGCAGCATTTCAGTCCTCAGGAGGAGATAAAATAATTTACCACCAGTTTAGCTAGGAAAAGTCCGAGGTGTTTGAGCTGAGGTGACGGTAGGGGAGGGACAATGTGAGCTGGACCCTGGTGATTCTGGTAGAGCACACCATAGGCAGAAGAAATCAAGGTCTCCACTGGCTTAATCAGCAGAAACTCCTTCCCGAGCCCAAATTGGATCGTTGCGAACCTTCAGCAGGCAGGGTGACTTCTCCAGAATCACAGAGCTGCTCACGTTGGAAGGGACCTCTGGAAATCATGTAGCCCAGCCCTCCCACTGCAGCTGAGTCAGCTGTAGCAGGCTGCTCAGAAATTTTTCCATTCAGGGCTTGAATATCTCCAAGGATGGAGGTTCCACAAACTCTCTGGGCAACTTGTTTGTGTGTTTGGCCACCCTCACAGTCAAAATGAAAACTGTTTACGTTTAAATGGAATTTCCTGTGTGTTCAGTCTGTGCCCATTGCCTCTTGTCCTCTCACCGGACACCACTGAGGAGAGCCTCAGTCTTCTTTACTTCTTCCCATCAGGTATTTATACACACTGATAAATCTCCCCAGAGCCGTCTCCTCCAGGCTGAATGGTGGTCCCAGCTCCCTCAGCCTTTCCTTGGATGTCAGATACCCCAGTCCCCTGATCATTTTCCTGGCCCTTCACTGGAGTCACCCCAGTGTGCCCCCACCTTCCTTCTGCTGAGGATCCCAGAGCTGGACACAGCGCTCTGGATGTGTCTCACCTGTGCAGAGTAGCGGGAACACCAGGCGTACTCTGGCATTTACAAGGATAGATGAAGTCCCACATCTCAAGTTACACCAGGGAAGGTTTAGGCTGGATATTAGGAAAAAATTCTTCACTGAAAGAGTGGTCAAACATTGGAACAGGCTACCTAGGGAGGTGGTTGAATCACCCATCCCTGGAGGTGTTCAAGAAACGTGTAGATGTGGTGCTTAGGGACATGGTTTAGTGAGTTAGGTGGTGTTGGGTTGGACTTGATGATCCTTGAGGTCTTTTCCAACCTTAATGATTCTATGATTCTATGATCTAAACTACAGCCTACAGCTCCTCTGTGAGCTTTGCCATCTTGTCCCCTGGATTGCCAGTAAATCCGGTTCATGGGATTGGCCCGAGAACTGATCCCGGTGGGCCCTGTTGCACAAAAGCGCCTCTCATTAGCATCTCCCCATGTATTCATAAAACCGAGCCCCGTGTTAGGAGTGTGTTACACGTAGGTGTATCAGGTGAGTTGCATTTGCAGAGGGCCAGGTTAACAACAATCCTTGCTATGCAAACCTCGCTCCTCCTGCTGGCTGGTTCCCAGCTGGTTCTGCAGAGCTACCTCGGTGCTGTGCGGGTGACACAGAGCCACGCAGCAGGAGCTGGGAGCCTGAAGGGATAGATGGCTATAGGCAGGGGAAATGTTCTGTCCAGGAGGACATGGGTT